CTATCATGCAATCTCCGTCTGGCCTTATTTTTATAACCACATCCATATTTTCCAGTTATCTATTTCCCTTTTCTGTTTCCAATATTTGCATTTAAATCACCAGTAATTATCAATGTATCTTGATAGCACATTTTGTCAATTTCAGATTGCAGAAGTTGGTAAAAAACTTTGCATTTCTTCATCTTTGGCATGAATGATTGGTGCGTAAATTTGAATCATAGTTGTATTAAGTGGTTTTCCATGTAGGTATATGGATATTATCCTGTCACTGCTAGTATGCTTCATCTTGAAAAATGTTTTGACAATGACTATGATGCCAGTCCTCTTCAATCTGTCATTCCCAGCATAGTAGGCCATGTCTGTACAAAGTGGCCAATACCAGTCCATTGCAGCTCATGTACACCTACGTCACTGGTCTCTATGCTTTCCAGTTCACTTTCTGATGGCCTCGAGTTTTTCTAGCTTCATACTTCTTACGTTCTGATGATTAATTAACATGGAATCTTTGTCATAACATACTGATATTTAATTGTTTACTAGTTGTTTGTGTAACCATGCGATTGTGGGCTTCTAAAGAACAATATATTTGAGACATTTAGGTAAACTGAAAACCTGTCATTCCTATTTCCACATGCTCCAATCCTACCTCCTTGGTAAGATCCAAGGCAGTATCTTCATTTTAACAGAGCCCTCCCTCATCCTCTAGCTTAAGGAAATTGCTCTGTGCCATAGTGGTCATTTATGTAGGTATCTAACTTACTCTCTAAAACTAGAAGCTCATGTTAAGGTAGAATTTATGTAATTCTATGTCCTTCATAACACATGGAACAGTCCTTAGACCAATTTGTTGAAACAGTGAGTTACTGGGGTTCCTGTGTTTCATGCCATTACTAGGAAAAAGAACAAACAGTACGAGTTTTACTTTTTGCCCCATGCTGCAGAAGGCTCTTACGTAACTCAATTCACTCACTTCTTACACCACATCAGTGGGATGAGTCATGAGCCCTGTTTTATGGAAAAGGACTCTTGAGACATTCAGTGACTTACCCAACACTCCACACATCACCAAGTCAGACTAGAATCTAAGATTGTTCTATTCCAAAGTTCAAGCTCTCCAACATATCTCACTGATTTGTCTTGTCTGGTTACGTGTAATATATTTATACACATGACTTGGTCATTAATAAACAGTGATGACTGCCCGACTGAAAGATAGTGGGCTCAAATATTAGATTGTGAGAATTAAGTGACTGAGTATGACGAAACAATATCATAAATTCCTTTATTATTTCTTTTTCCCAGTTTCTTTCTGGGTTTTTGATACTGCGGTCTAAGTACGATCAGAGAAAAGTTTAAACCAGGGAATTAAATACCCTGTAAGGTAAAGTGCTTGCTTTTGTAGAGCTTTTATCATAGGGCCAAAGAAGTCTATCACTGATCCTTCTTCACTTCAATTCTTCAGCAGTGGAAACAATTTATCAAGATGGTTGCTGCATAGTTTCAGGCAATTTCGTTTTGGAAGGACAGAGGGATAAGTAATGCAGCAGTGTGTGCGGCAGTTAATGCAGTCAGTGTTTACAGAAATGGCTGTGAATTAAATAGCTCACCACTAAAATAGCATTTTATCAAATCATCTCCATAAATAAAATGCATTTTGACTTTAAGATGACATGTGCTCTTATAGGATGTTTCCTCTGCATTCTGAAGGACTGTATAACAAATTAAAGAACACACATTTATGTGGATAAAAGGCAAATAAACTTTCCCCAGCAGTAATGTGGGGATCATCACTGACGGTTTGACATATCAATATTTCAGGAAGAACAAATGACTTTCATATCCACGGTTTTTTTAATATATCATATACTTACTCATTTTTGCATTACTTGAATAGTTTGGAAAGAATTTGTACTTTATCACCTGAAACTGCTTAAAGTATTTCAAAATATTTTAATAAAGCTTTTTGAATTATCAAATAATGCAACTTTTAAACAAATTTTACTATTATTATAAATATTTGCTCTTCATCCCTTGCCCAAAGGAAAACTATAAATCTTGTCTCAACTGAATGAACACCATTTATCATATTCATTTTGTTGTCAATACAATTATGAAAAGCCTTTGGCCTTTTCCCAAGGAAGCTGATTTGCTACTGAAATTCAATTATTATAAGCAAGGCAGGCACCAAACCACCCTGTTTGGCAATCTAACACAGCTTCTTGTATAACTGACACTTCGCCCTCCGCCCTTGACCTTAATAACATCAAAGTGTATGGTCAAATGAAGAAGACAACGGTTTCTAGTTCAAAACAAAACATAAGTCTCAAGGTTTTCCATTTGCTATTTTCTGCCATCTGCTGGACAAAAAGTTTCATTTCCAAAGGGCTACAAAAAAAAAAAAAAACCAAAAAAAAAAACAAAACAAGAGCTAAGTGAAGGAAATGGAAAAGACGTAATGACAGTATCTTCTCTAAATTTTTTGGCAGTTATCAATGATGGCAGCTATTTCCATGTTTGGCATTGTGGGGAAGGTTTCTAACCTTGACTTGCAGTATTGTTGGTGAGGAAAACATGAATGTTAGTTGCTGAGCATCCTGTGATTGTCATTTGGACGCAAAGTCATTAGTTTCTAAGTGCCAATACCAGATTCTGATGAAGTTCCAAATACATGAAGAGTTTTCACTTTGGGAGCTAGCTAGCTGCTATGTATGTTTAGAGAAATAAAAGAACTACAGGTAATTCCAGTTTATCCTTCATAGTTAAAAGAATGGTGTTACCTCCTGTGTTAAAATTTACAATTTGTTCATGTACATTATTGTTGTTGTTGTTAGGTGCTGTTGAATCTGTTCTGACTTACAGTGACACTGTGTACAACAGAACGAAACACTGCTTGGTCCTCTGCCATCAGCACGATGGCTGCTATGTTTGAGCTCACTGTTGCAGCCAGTGTGTCAATCCGTCTCGTTGGAGATCTTCCACTATATCGCCTACTCTAGACCAAACGTGATATCCTTCTCCAGAGGCCTGGCCTTCCTGAATACACATCCAAAGTACATCAGATGAAGTTTCACCATCTTCACTTCTAAGGATTATTAAGAAGTATAAGACTGTATTTCTTCCATGACAGCTTTGTTTGTTCTTACGGCAGCTCATGGTACATTCAATATTCTTTGCCAAAGCCACAATTCAGAGGCATCACTTCTTCTTAGGTTTCCTTATTCACCGTTCAACTTTCACATGCATATGAGGCGACTGAAAAATACCATGACTTGGGTCAGGTGCACCTTGGTCTTCAAAGTGACATCTTTGTTCTTTAATACTTTAAAGAGGTCCTTTGTAGTTGATTTGCCTTATGCAATATACTGTTTGTTGATTTTAAGATATACATGATTCCTCACTGATACGGAAAATTCTTTTCTCTATCCAACTTTCATGGGTCCAATGAAGTAGACTTTAATATCAACTTCTTTGTCAACTACTCAAATTAATCTTTGAAAATACTTAATTACAGAGTACTCCCTAAAACATGTCCAGATCCCCTTTTAGGTTTATCTCTAGCCATAACTCTAAGGAGCTCTGGTAGCATAGTGGTTACGAACTGGACTGCTAACCTCAAGGTCAGCAGTAAGAAACTACCAGCTGTTCCACAGGAGAAAGATGAGGCTTTCTGTTTCTATAAAGATGAACAGCCTCGGAAACCCTGTACAGGGTCACTATGAGTCGGAACTGACTCCACAACACACCACCACCACCTAGCCATTAACTGTGGCAGAAGAGTACCTTTTATGCAATTTATCTTGTGAGAGATGTTTGGATAGGACTGGTTTGAACAGAATATCTGAGAAACTGTAACCTGGAAATGAAATTAGCTTTAAAACTAAAGAACTTAAATTCTGTACTCTTAAAGCTTATGTGCTCTGATGGTTTCATGCATAAAAGGCATAAAAGCAATTCAATTATACTTATATGACTTGCTTAGATTATCAATTCCTACTAAGACTTATGGAGCCCTGGTGTAGCACTGCAAGACAAGTACTGGACTGCAAGGTCGATTTGAACTGCAAGATTGGTGGTTCAAATCCACCAGCTGCTCCTCAGAAACTCTATACAGGCCTGCTATGAATTGGAACCGACTGACCTGACAACACATCACAACAACTTAACAACAATATTAAGACTGATGAGGAACCTCACAATAACTCCTAAAACAGTACTAATTAAGAACCATTTAGGACCACTAAATATGTGCCAGACGAACCAAAGAAATGCATGATCTACTCTTAAGCTAATACAGAAAACCTATACTGGATTCTTTACTTTTTTAGATGAGGAAACAGACTTAGTGAGGTGAAGGAACGTGCCCACGTTTAATGGAGAACTGGGATTTCAAGCCTCGTCCATCTGACACCAAAGGCCATGCTCTTTTCACTCTTCAATGGGGAGGCAGTTCTGTGCCGGATGTTTATTTATTTATTTAGCTTTGCTGTCTGTACTAAGTCTTGGCAAAGGTAATTTCAAATTTTACACTGAATGAAAAATCCTCAACATGTATTTCCTCTTTTTCCTGTCCATTAGTATTTCCATGATGATGAAAAACTATAGCATGATGAATTAAACCTCAAAGAGATAAAGTGAAATTCTCTGCTCCCTCCTAATTAAGATGAGTAGAGATTCAAAGCTCCTCAAAAATGCCAAATGGTAGGACTCACTGATTCCTAGTTAATGTTGTAAGCCACAACATAAACAATCGTTTGGGGCTGTAGTTTTTAAGTTGTCAATATCTAAAGGCACCAAAAAAGTGACCTTTCTGAGCTGGGTCTCCAAATGCTGTGCTCAGTTATCTGCACTGCTGCCACTGTGCTGTAATTTTTAGCTGATTACACATTAGTTCATTTAGCTTTGTTTCCTCTTCCCTACTGTGCCATACTATTAAACGAAAGCGAGGGGCCTGGCATCCCTCTGTGCACAGAGCTGGTATTGTCACAGTGTAATAAGGATACATCCAGTCAAACAGCATGGTGTAGCTGGTCTTTGTGTTCAGTGCAAAGGCAATCCCTCGAAGATCTCTTGCCAGCCCGATCAACATACGCTGTCAGTGGGAAAGAGACACAGTAATTGATTTTCACGTTAGCGCAGAGCAGATGGAGTAATAATCAGGCAATAATGACCACATATCTGATTTTGATTCATTAGCTAAAATGTCTCGCTCAGATCCCTTTCTGTAGAGCAAAACCATAGACTCATAGACTCTTTACACAAACAGGACATCAAATCTACTGACCAACTCCACCTCACTTCTTATAAATTGAGCTAAGTTATAATTCCAGTAGTTTAGGAACGTTTGCGTTAATATACTTTGTTTCTGAATAATACCAAATTAGAAAGAAATAAAGAACAGAATTAATAATCTCACAAAACAGAAATGTACATGGTCTAGACATTATCTAATGACAGCAAATTTTACATACACATCAAAATGTATGAACAAACGATTTAGAGTCTATTCTGGAAACATATTGGCATATAAAGATCCTTAATGAATATCCTTAATAACTAAGGACAACATAAAACTATTCTAGAATAACTTTTTTAAAAAAATCTTATTTAAATAAAGAAACTAACAAGTGGCCTGCTCACCTAGAATAGTAGTTGTACTCACCAAGAAGAAACGAAAGTAACCAGAGACTCGAATTTGAATCCAGTTCTACTTCTTAACTCTTAATACTTAAAGAAAAGCCTAGTCTCTGTTTTTCCTCTATAAAAGAGACTAATAATCTTCTTTCACAAATTACTGTGAGGAATAAATTTAGCACGCTTATGAAAATATGCCTAGCAGAGGGCCTGATACATACATACTGGACGTTCCCTAAGAATTTCCTTTTAGAGAGAAAACACTTGACTATTAAAAGGAAGGAGACCTGACTAGTAGTCTGGACTCTTAATTAAGCTGTCCTGAGGATGAAGCTTGGGAAGAAAAAGAAAACCCAGGAACAGATGCCAGAATGGTAGCACAAAGAGCACAAATCAACGTAATTGCAAAACAAGAGGGCGGGATAATTGAGATATGCTACTGTGTTTTCTGAAGATACTGTTTCAGTGGAAACATTCTGCCAGAAAATGATGTCTAAACTGTTCCCTTCACCAGGTTTTTTTTGTTTCCTCACATTTTGGTAGTAAATGAAGATCTCTTCAGGAAGTTTAATAATTATCATTAAAGAGTCCTGACATCACCGTAACAGTTGACTAACATTTCAAAGTAACTTACAATGCACTGTTTATTTAACTGTCAAGAGAATCTGGAATTTCTCTTCCCTCCCACCTAAAACGTGGCTCAATATATAACTACATGCTGTTTCTAAAAATATCCTGTTTGTACAGACTAACAGTTTATATAATGACGGCTATCTGCGTTTCTAAATATGAAAACTGAATTCCTGTTTCAACTCTTTAAGCGACTTACTCTTCTATCTCTCATAATTCCTCAGATCTTGTTTTCTATAATTGGCTGACCTTGCAGTTCTTTCATATGACCTGTTTTTGTTTTTAAACAAACAAACAAACGAACAACATTTTGCCATATGCAACAACCTATTTTCACCACCTGAAACCTGTTTCAGCTGTCGGGGCAAAACATCTTTTAACAAGCTTTCTTCCAACAATTCCATTCTGACCGCTTAGCTTTGCAGTCTTTCTGTTAAGAGTGATCTTTTGGTTTTATTTTTATTATGTACACTTACAGGCTATCCTTCAAACACTCTTAAACTCTCTCACACACATAATGTACCCACAACTCAACTGTAAATTCGTCAACAGGAATCATGAGTTTTACTTTCTTTATGCCTACTACACAAAGTACTTAATAAAATAATATTTATTTTAGACTATCTCCATGAGGTTCATTGTGCTCCAATTGACAGGGAATCAATCTATCGATGTTTTTTAATTCAGTAAAATGTGCCTAGGAAATTATACTCAACTTCTATTTGATAAAATGTTACTCTAGAGCAGAGGAAGCATTTAACAATTTAATAACTAAATGAATATTTTCAATAGATTCAACTGAGCAAGAAAACAATGCGTTAATCTGAGTAGGAAAAAGATTTCTTGTGCTCAAAGAATACCTTTTATCTTAAAGCAGCAGAGAGCACTACAGTGAGCTACACAGATACACCAACAGTAAGGTAAGGGAGTACTTACTCCATAGCTGACACATACCTAGTTCTGGTATGAACCTCATACTGTTAACACGGAACTCAACTAGGCTACTCAACCATCTGAGAGACAGGGGGATGAGCTGATTGAAATCTAGGCTGGGGGAGTAGCCACAAGTTACCATCTCATTTGCAACAGGACCAAACCCAAACCCTCTGCTGCCAAGTCGATTCCAACTCATAGCGGCCTTTTAGGAGAGTTGAACGGCCCCATAGGGTTTCCAAGCCTGTAAATCTTTATGGAAGCAGACTGCCTCATCTTTCTCTCACATAAAATGTCTGGTGGGTTTGAACCACCGACCTTTGGGTTAGCAACTGATCGTATTAACCACCGCACCACCAAGACTCGCTTAAGAAATACAAAGAGCTCTAGTCAGAAAGTTACAGTTCTCCTTCTCTGTGTATGTGTGGCGCTGCAGGATAAATCACCATCACCGGACAGCAAAAGGTCAGCTTGAACCCCAAGGTCGGAAACGCTATACAAGGTCGCCATGAGTTGGAACCGACTCTATGGTGCTTAACAACAACAACAACAACAACAACAACAACACATACTATGATTGCTCAACACCTGACTGATCTGAAAAGCGAGAGGCACTTCATTTTTAGGGAGGTTGTTTTGGGGAGTGGGATAAGTCTGGGGTAGGTAATCCTCAAGATTCCTGTTTGGGTATTTCAGGGAGAAAGTGCTGCGTGCTTCAGTCGCTGTGCGGTGAACGGTTGTCTATGTGCCAAGCGTGAGACTGATGGGCTGGGAAACAGCTGAAACACGGCTCCTTCCACCCTGACCCCCCAAACAGGGTTTCTAATGGAAAGTCTGACAGACCCTTTACTGTAGTGGTACTACTGGGGGCAGCTATAATATTATCCTCATAATTCTACTATATAATAACAACAAAGAAAAAGAAGGTGAAGGGTCATTGTGCTTTGTCTTTAGAATTAAGATGGCTGTCTTCATCCTTACAGCATACTCTTAATTCTGGAGACACATCTTAATAACCTCTAAATAGTTCCAACAAAAGAGCCGTGTCAGAGGAATGAGCAGGCCCCAAGGTGTTTCAACTGGAGTGTTTTCATCTGCCTTTATTGCTCTATCCCTCTCCAGAATTAAGGCAATAACCTGTGATAAATTATTCAGGAACTGCTACAGGGATCAAAGCAAAATCATTCTGTTAAAGTGCTGTTTGCAACATTTGGCACTTAGTGCGAAAACTTTTAATGTGCGCATGCTGAAAATCAAGGATTTTAAATAATTTAACATTGTGGAGTTTTTACGAAGGGACTAAAGATAGCAGGTTCCTATTTAACTGCTCCTCTTCCTCCGAGAAGTTTTCATTCATTTTCCTTAAAACCGATAGCCACATCAAAAATGATGCATGAGTGAGGAGAGTTTTGAACTGTATTTTACTATAGATGCAATTTTAGGGGGGAGTTTTAAAAAAATAATGCTCTGGACCCAGGAACTGTCACACCACTTTCTCTCTTTTCCTCTTTACTTTGAAAAGAAAAGCCCAAGACAAAAATTCAATGTTCTCTTCAATTTTATTAGGACTAAGTATAAAAAACAAAGCTATAAATCGGACAGTTGTGCAGTATTCTCTATCCTCACAACCATATTTCAATTTGGCAACACAGGTCCTTAATGTTTACGCTCATCCTGAAATCTGCATCCGAAAAATATCTATAAATAGGGAGTTAGAAAATCCTGGTAAGGGTTGCAAATTAAATGAATTTGGCAGTCCTGCGGCATTTTCATAGAGATATTTTAACAGCATCACCTCCTGTGGGTTGGAATACTAAATACTTTATTGAAGAACAAAACAGAACTGTTTTTATCTCGAGTACTTGCAAAATGAAGTACCTAAAAGCACTTTTGCATGTATTATTTATTCATCATGATAGAAAAATAGCCTTAACCTAATAAATTACATTTAAAAGCATTTAGTGCAAAAGTTTTGTTTATGATAAAGCAACAGATTTAGTTCTTTATCGGTAGCTTAAAGCACCAAGTTTTCTTTATACAAATTAGACAGATGGTGCTTACAGTAGAATTTACTAAAGGTCTGTCACAACAAATGCAGCCAAGCTGCATATTTAATCACTGCAGAATCTTGTCTACCTGCAGCTGCCAACTGCTAATCCAATTTCCCTGATAAATGTGGCAAGAGACACGATCAGCAATAAAGAGCATCTAACTCCATTTTCCTGCAGGGCGTCTTTTGATGAACATTTAGGACGGAAGCACGGAGTGCACTGTGTGGCCTTGGTTCGTGGCAGCTGCATGCATTCTGAGGCACAGTGCTCAGGTTACTCACTTAATTCTGCCACTATCATTACGTTGCTATTGATCTCAGTAGCTGTTGCCTACACAGCATTACTCTAGATGAAGCTGAATCAGGCAGTTATCATGCATCAAACTTGCTCAAAAGCCTGGAGATTTCCCCTTAATTACTTGTGATTTTATTTGCAAATACCGTTAAAGTGTAATCAAGCAGTCACTTTCCAGGGTCGTTAAGAACTTGCTGGTTTAGGGATATATCACTTGGAACTCCATTAAAAATGACTCTGGGAAGATGGTTTCTATCAAACTAGATGGAATTAGATCAAAACGGGCTTGGAGTATAATGAAATCTTCAAATGAGACAAATGTAATTTTTATAAACATGGTGTTTTTCAACCATCTTTTTGACAAAGGGCAGCAACCAACCACCTTAAGGCTGCAAGGATTTTGTTAGCCATTAAAATATTCAAATATACCAATATATATATATAGCTGCCCAGAGCAGAAGCTCTGGTGACGAATTTCAGCAGGAATATAAACAAAGAAAATCTATAAGGTCCTTATTTGATTTTTAAAATTCTGTGTATGCTGCTAACCTCTTATTTTAAATGCAGAAGCCTCGTATTTGGCTAATTGCTTTTTGTTAGAAGAGGTACACTAAAGTTAGCTGCAAAAGCCATCCATTGTTGATTTGGCTTCTTACTATTAAGGTTTTTTTTGGTGAAGAGAAGACGATCCATGCAAAATGACAGCTAATATTTCTAACATGTATCAAAATAACAATAAAATAGGGCTCAAGCATCATCCACAAAGGTGCCTGCATTCTCTGGGGTGCACTTATTAGTCTTTTAAAAATCATCATCAGTGTCAATCTATTTAATATAGCCCTGAAACATTATAATTTCAGGAGATGCAATTTCTATTTAGCTCATCTTGGGCTCCCCATCCCCCATCTTAAAATATGGGGCTGTTTTGCCACAAACAGCTTGCTACACTTAAGGATTTTACTAATAAAACATAATGTTGTCTTAGATATTATGACTGTTGCCACAGCTGAACTGACTTGTCAAATCAATCCTAATATGGCTCCCACAGGCACATAAAAACCTTATTTAGCTATCAGTTATCCTAATCACTTTGTTCAGTTTAAGAATGCAATACTTCAAGACCAGCTCCTATTTATACATATATGCCTAGCCATTTAATAAAGTCTTGATTTATATAAATTCTTGTTTAAAAAAATATTTAGCAATGTACTGTTTTAGCATGTCTATGTTTGTGCATTCCTCCATATAAATATATTGCAACGTTCAATATTGGGTACATGAGGGACTCCCCCAGAAACCAAAGCCCCTTGCCATCAAGTCGATTCAGATGAGGGGACAGGGCTGTGGAGAGTGGTGTGTGCACCAGAATTGTCCTATTGAAGATGCTGCTTCCAGAAACAAACCGACGCCATCTAATCATGAACTGACTGGCCGAAACCATTTGCTGACCTCAAAGTCAGTTTTGTATGAGCAACTAGAAAAGTGCATATGTGAAAACGATACATGCAATTGGGAAAGCAGGGCGGATGAGGCAGGGAGCACACACAGATATGCAAAAACCCTTTTCTGGATCTGGATATCCCATACAGAGCAAAACTGTGTGTATGTTGGGAAACAAACCCACCTTTACATCTTCTTGTTTAAAGTTGTTGTTGAATATCTGTAATACTGTTTCAAAAGAGACTGTAAGCGGCAGCATGAAATTCTCAAATTCATCCTCATCTTCGCCTATCAGAGAAACAAAAGGGTCACCATGGTTTAAAATGCATGCGATTATACATTAGTCTCGGCACTGAATGCTTCATTCAGGCTTAGAAATGTTCCTGAGAGGGGGGTCACTCTGCATTCAAACCCACGGCACATTGTGAGCTTTGGCTCATTGAATATTCTGGTGTTTCACCGTCTCTTTTGCACTAAATGAAATAGCAAAATTACTTACCAGCCATTTTTTCTCTTGGCTTTTTATTGGATCACACAGACTCATGCCTCAGGCATCACAGACCGTCAGCTCTTTGGGCCCCCAGAGCTTCCCTATAATGCCTCAAGGAAGGCCACTTTCAAAGGCTCCGAGACAGAGGTCTTCCCCTCCCTTCTCTTTAGGTGCCAAGGCCCTAAAGGGCTCACAGACTCAGGTGCCCAGATAGCTCGGAGTTATTATTCTCTTTTATTTATGTTCTGTTTTATTAATTTGTTAAATAGATGGAAGGGAAACTTTTCTTAATCTGCCAAGTAGGATAGGATCCCTCATGGGTCATTTGGGTCTTAAGGATATATTCTCTATGGGGACACTTCGTCTTGTGATAAGCTCTTTATCTAGAAGAGGGAGAGGAGTCCTCATTTTCTGTTAGCCTTTTCACTTTAAAGGTCATAGCTAGTTTCCTTATGGATTCTGTCAGTGTAGAATCTTTATACAAGAATATGCGCAATTGATAAGTAAGATAAGGTATTCTTTTCATAAAGGGTTTCTTTAATTCTCTCATTCATACTATGCCACAGGGAACGATGAGCCTCACTTTACTGATGCAGAGACAAGAAGACATACTTAGTTGGCAGTAGCTGCTGTATGGCTCTCCCCACTTGATTTCTATGTGATTAGAACTTTAAAGAGATCTCAGAGATGACCACAAACAAACTTTGGTCCCTGAATCAGCAGCAACAGCACCACCTGGGGACTTGTGGCAGAGTCCCAGGTTCTACCCCAGACTGTGACGTCCTGGTGTGGTGCTGCAGGATAAGCACTGGACCATAGGTTGGTTTGAACCACAAGGTCGGCGGTTCAAACTCACCAGCTGCTCCTCGAAAACCCTACACAGGATTGTTAGGAGTCGGAACTGACTCGATGGCACTTAACAACAACAATGTCCTAGATTTACTGAATGAAAAACTCTGAAGATGGGACCCAGCAACCTTTGTTATATTAAGGCTTCCAGGTGACTCAGACATATGCAGAATTATATGCAGAACTTTGAGAAACTCTGATAAGTCATTTTACAGATAAGGAAACTGAGGCTACAGGCCAGAAACAGAAGAACAGCAGAATCAGAAGCCTTTGACTCCCAAATCTTTTATGACTTTTCCTTCCCCCTCGAAACCTCACATACTTCTCCCAGGAATCCTAGAGAAATCAGGAACCTGACTGTTTAAAAATGAAAGGTGAAGGCCAATGACTCTTTCACAGTACGCTGCCCTAAACAAGGGTCAGGGTCCTAAATGGAGGGTAAGGAAAACCAAATTATAATCCCTGGTCTGTCAGCTGGTCATGGTCTGTGACCAAGTAATTTCTTTGAGCTCTAACCTCTGTCAACTGGTGATGACATTATAAACCTATACAGAAGTCATTCCCGTCTTTACAAGGCCCAGGGCAAATGATTGCATTTCTCCCTACTCCCACTGCAGGTAACGAATGCCCATCTCCCTTCTTATTCCCATAGCATTTTAGTAGACACTTTACTATAAAAAGTACTTACCAGTCTGCCTTAAGGAGCTCTGGCAGCTTCATGGTTACAGGTTGGGCTGCTAACGTCAAGGTCACCAGTTCAAAACTACCAGTGGTTCCTCAGGAGAAAGATGAAGCTTTCTCATCTTTACAGCCTTAGAAACCTTATGCAGGGTCACAGAGTCAGAACTGACTCCACAGCACATAATCACCACCACCACCATCAGTCTGCCTTGAATTGCAGGTATTAAAGCACACATATACTAATCCTCACCACTGGACCAATAAACAACATTCTTATCAACAGAGAAAAGATTGAAATTGTCAAGGACATCATTTTTCTTGGATCAACTATCAACACTCAAGGAAGCAGCAGTTAAGAAATCCGAGGATGTATTGCATTAGGGACATCTGCTACATAAGACCTTTTTAAAGTGCTGAAGAGCAACAATGTCAGCTTGAGGACTAAGGTGCGCCTGACCGAAGCCATGGTATTTTCAATAACCTCATATGCATGCGAATGCTGGACAGTAAATAAGGAAGATGGTAGAAGAATTGATGCATTTGAGTTATGGTGTTGGAGGAGAATATTGAAAGTGCCATGGGCTGCCAAAAGAACCAACAGATCTGTGTTGGAAGAAGTGCAGCCAGAGTGCTCCTTGGAGGCCAGGTTGGCCAAACTTTGTCTCATACTTCAGACATATCATCAGGAGGGACCAGTTGCTGGAGGAGAATACCATGTTAGGTAAGGTGGAGGGTCAGAGAAAAAGAGGAAGACTCCCAGCGAGATGGATTGGCCAAGTGGCAGCATCAATGGGCTCAAGTGTGGCAACAACAGTAGTGAGGTTGGCCCAGGACTGGGCAGTGTTTCGTTCTGTTGTGCACAGGGTTGCAATAAGTCGGTACTAACTCAATGGTACCTAACAACAACAACAACAACATACTAATAAGCACTCGACTGCTAACCACAGGTCAGTGGTTGAAACCCACCAGCTGTTCCTCAGTAACCCTGTCCAGGGTTTCTATGAGTCAGAACTGACTTGATAGCACTGAACAACAGCAACATACTAACAACACTAATGATACCACGTAAGCAGTGCTACTACTGCCACCTTAGGTAAGGGTTAGTGTGGGGAGTGTGGAAAAGACAGCATCTATCAGCCTACACTGATGCTATCTCTGGCTTAGCTTCTGCAGAGCCAGGACTGTGTACTTTTTCATTTCTTGGTGGAGGAAGATGACGTAGGACATCTGTCCGGTTCTACCACCTACTATTTAACTTTGGAGAGTAGCTTATGTATTGCTCTGAGTTGCAATTTCCTCATCTACAAGATAGGGTAGAAGTACCTACCTTTGAGGGTTATTGTGAAAATTAAATTTATGACAAGTGAAAAACAGAACATTCTCAATAAATAAATAAATAATGGCAGGCCTAGTATTGTATTAGAATAGTGCCTGGCATATAGATTAGGAGAATTCTGTATCTGAATGAAAAGTAGTTGCTCAAACGATGAGTTTTTAAAAAGACCTTATTTTATTATGTCATTATTAAGTGCTGTCAAGTTGGTTCCAACTCACAGCAACCCTGTATAGGGTTTCCGAGGAGTAGCTGGTGGCTTTGAACCGCCAACCTTGTGGTTCACAGACCAGTGCTAATCCTACAGTGCCACACAAGTGTTGTTGTTGTTGTTAAGAGCTGATGAGTCAGTTACAACCTATAGCCACCCTGTGTAGGGTTTCTGAGGAGCGGCTGGTGAGCATGAACTGCTGACCTCATGGATCAAACCAACCTTGCAGTCCAGTGCATTAACCCACAGTGTCACACCAGGGCTCTGCCACACCAGTAGTCCTATTATATTTTATTATGCCTGATATAATTAATAATTAAAGCAAACATCACATTTAAAAATATGTAACACGTACATCCATTATATTTAGACTGTATAATCTTACTCTCCTAAAATGAACTATTTTCTAAATGTAGGAATATTAATGAGAACAACAATAGTTACTTTCAGCAGAATAGGGTGTTGGTAAAGGTGGACGCTCTGAAATCAGAAAGCTCTGGGCTTCAGTCCTGGCTCTGTTATTGCTGGCTGTCTGCTTTGGACAGTCACTTCACTCACCTAATCCTCAGTGTTGTGATCTCTAATTAAGAAATGTAATAGTTACTTCATAAAATTAGCTGTGAGGATTAAATGGGGAAACTTCTGTAAAATCCCTAGCTCAGTGCCTGGCACCTGCAAAATGACAGCCATTAGCATTTCTGTTGTCTTGAGTTTATCATCATTTTAGAAAGATGACAGAATAAATTGTGACTGTGAGGTTGCAAAGCTTTTCCAAGGGAAGGATATCCACTTAGCACAAAGACCACTTCAGAACTTTCACATCTCACCCCTTCACTTAATATATTAGTAAACAGATGAAAAAACAACAACAACATAAAACAACTTTTTGACTCCCATGAAAATTTGATTGACTGAGGTACACAGGGATATCGGGAGCACAGAGCCAAGCCACCAATCATACACAAAGAAATCAAGGAGCAAATACTACAGAGAGTGATTTGGGGAGCAATCCTATTTAAAAGTCACTTCCTCCTCAGAAAGGCTTGCCTTAACCACTCTACCTAAAACCTGCAGAGCCCCCTGGTCATTCTCTGAATCTGCTTTCCTTGTCTGACAGGACTTCTTGGATGGGCTGTTAATTTGCATTTTTGCTCATTTACTGTTTGTCTTTCCTACTAGAATGCAACCTCCTTGGTGTAGAAATTTGGTAGATAAATTGGCCTGTTATCCCAGTGCCTACAATAGGGCTGGCACTAAAGATATATTTGTGGAATGACTACATGTTCATTATGTGCAGGCAATGAATTTGACCCTGTTACAGACCGAATTGTGTCACCAAAAAGATGTGTTGTCAATCGTAATCTCTAAGCCTGTGATTATAATCCCATTTGGGAATGGGGTTAGTTTTGCAGTTAATGAGACAGGATTAGTATAGCATATAATTTGAGCCAATCTGTTACAAAGTATAAAAGTAACGAACTAAGGAAGTAAGGATGGAGGCAGAGAGACGCCATGCCACATGGAGATCTCCAAGAAACCAGGAAACAGAAGCTGAAGAGACAAGGGTCTTCCCTCAGAGCACACGGAGACATACAGAAAGCCTTGCTCTGGACCTGATACCCTCAATTCGAACTTCTAGTCTCCTAAACTGTGAGAGAATAAATGTCTATTTGAAAAAGCCAACCACTTGTGGTATTTCTGTTATAGCAGCATTAGAAAACTAA